CCGAGATAGCCATTTGATAGACAAAGTAGAATTACGTATAACCTTTTTGTTACGTCTTGATTCCTTTAAAAATGAAGATGTTAGCGGCGTTTGAAATTTTGCCGTTTTTGAGGCGAAAATGGCGAACATGACTTCACTAAAACGTCAATTTCTCAAAAAATTTTCCGACGGATTTCGCTCAAATTTTCAGGGAACGTGTCAAATTGATGTAAAAAAGGTACTTAAAGTTTGGCGGCGCTGCGCGCCGCCGTTTTTGAGATATTGCAAAAGTTCGCGAGGGTGGGTAAAATTTACCCCCCAGCCCCCGCGCGGGTTAAGCTAATTAGGTATTCGGCAGAAAATGACCTCAGACAAAGCCCGACACTGATTTCGAATTAGTTATATGGCCGAAATTGACCATAAAACATTTGGCACGTGACCCATGCATGACATAAAATATCCGTGATCTAGGCTGACTTTGCCTTGACCTGAAAAAAAATCGAAGTACAAGTTCGGTACATACCCTCAGAATATCTTGGGCAATGGGCATCTATTCACGATGGTGTAAACAAAAAATTGAGCGTGATGTGACTTGTTAGGTGGTGGCCAGAGACCAATTTGTGAACAAGCCAAAGTGTTGATAACATTTACCTTGACCTGACCTGTGACGTCATCGATGAACTCACTCAAGGTAAATAAAGTAAAGTTCCGCTCGACAATTTTTTTTACCAATGCTATCAAACAACGCTTAAATTTTGACTACCAGTCTAGTGGTTTCGGAGATAAAATTGGGGGAGGGGCCTATAGAGACCCCCCATTCAACTGCGTTATGGAAAATATCCCACTCATGCGCGGGTTAACTTCTGGACTTGGAGCCAATGCCGTGCCACACAGTGGTTCACTCACCAACTTGCACAGATAACGTTCCTGCTTCGTCTAATTCAACTCATGGGCCACCTAATGAGAAACGTATGATACAACAGTGTTCGAAAATTTTGTCGATCAAATGCAATGGCACTTCGGTCAATTTTAGTTGACCCAAACGTGGAATCATTCGATGCCGTACTCGGTATTATGAATGCTTCCCGTCCTTCCCGGTTCATCGTTTATATGACGTTCCTTTTCTACTCCAGCGCCAGATACCAAATGCTAATTCGGTTCACCTTGGCCGTGAGTTTTTGTCCCCGACCAAGCTCGCTCGGCTCGGTGACAGTCGTGGCGCTAAAAGTCACCCAATGTGACGGGGTGTGGCATTTCACATGTCCGGAGAGGGTTCACCGGTCCGGGCGCGACGCAGGGGTTTGTAACATGTAAGGCGTGGCGTCCGTACAAAAGTAAAATGAGGTGCGTGTAGAAGAAGGCCATTTCTCCATCTGCATGTGTACTGAGCAAAGGCATAGGAGTATTTTCGGTGATGTATCATAGTTGGATCTGTGAATATGCATGAAAAAAATTGCTACCGACAGTTCAAAAGAAGATATTGCAAAAAAAAAACAGGATACTATAGTCTGTTCCTCATCAAGCTTGCGGTCGGAGTTTCTTCAACAGTTCGCTCCTCCGTTCAATAATTTGCGTAATTGTAAGAGCTGTATGTATAGAAATCATGCACACCTTTCAGCAGGGCACTTCGGACGCAAGCTTGGCATGGAACAGACTATAACGACTACGTTTCTGAGCATCAAAACATCGCTGACGTCTATCCAAATCAGTTCCCAGCACACAGCCTAGCCACTGAACTGCTTTTCTACCCTCCCCCTCACCAATCCATCATAACGCATCCTTTTCGTGCTGTTTGCCCCGTCCCCTCCCACCCTCCCCTCCCCACCGACCACCACCGGGCCTGCGCGCGCGGCGACTCCAAATGAGGCGCTCACTCTCCGCAAACACTCCTCCCGGGCGGCCGTTTTGAAGCCGGCTAAAACAAGTAAAACGCCCGCCTACTACCCGTGATCACATGACCCCGTGTTTACCCTCAGGGCAAACACAGGCTGCGTTTGAGTCATCTCTGGGGCGTGTGCGACGCGTGGCTGCACCGGAGCAATGTCGCCACTGCAGGTGTGTTGACTGGCTGCACGATAGGGTACTTTCGAGCCTGGTTGACAACAGTTAGCACTCTTTGTTGTGCAAATACGCCGGCTGCGACCGGGGATTAATGCGGTACGAGTCAAGTATTTAACTCAGCGAGAGGATGTCTTTGTAAACGGTACAAGGCACAACTAAGCGTTTGATAGTGTGTTGTGTGTAAGCTGATCCTGTTTAGCAGAATGGAGATGAGAGTGCAAACCTGTTTTTGTCGATATGCACAGCTGATTGCTGCAATGATAAGCAATAATGAATGGTAAGTGTTTTATAATTGCTGCTATTTAATTACTTTATCTAGCTGTGTAAACAGTTTTTATGTGTAAGCTTCATCATAGATGGACGCCTGTATTTCTGCGTTGTTGAATTACTAGCGCATGTAACTTGTTAACAATTGTCTTTAACCCTCGCCCGCACATGCCATTTTCCCATCCTAGAACGCACATGGGGGGGGGGTGGTTGCCACCCCCGCGCCATTTCGTTCCTGTTGGAGATAGAGCTTCGCGGTAACGACCAAAAAGATTCTTTGGGAAGAGACGAATCCATGAATGATACCCAGTTTTACCTTCTCAGGTCAGCCATTGACCTTCCATGTCAGGTCAAACTAAAAAAATGTTGCTGTTTTGGGTCACCGTTGGATATCAAGTGCGCTGCTCATCATATGCCGATGACGATGCCGTTTTCTGGTGCCAAGCCAGCTAGAACTTCTTTTTCACACTACCCGACCATATTTTTGCTGCTGAGGTCATTTCAGTTCAAGTTAGGTCAAGGTCAATGATATGTGTTTGTATGTCTGTGTGTGTCTGCGTGTATACTGATGTGTGCACCGAGTGTTTATGTGTCCATATTACATGAAATCATGATCTGAGAAGCTTTTACCAAAAATGCAGTCTGTAAAAAGTTAATTGTTTCCAAAACGGGCTTCGCTGAGGAAAAATTTTCAAGCCAGTGTACAAGGCTGTTTCAAACCTATTTCAAACCAGTGAACAAGGCTGATCAATAAAGCCGAAATTTTTGGTTATAATACTTAGTTTTCCTCAGCGAGGCCCGTTTTGAAAATAATTAACTTTTTAGAGATTTATTAACCTGAGGAAAAGAATAATGACGCTTCGGCAAAAATGCAGTCAAAAAACTTCACAAAAAGTAAATTTAGCTTGCCTAAAACGCAATTATTTTAGATGACCTAGATTGACCTTGACCCTGACCTTGACATCTGTACATCGTCGAACAACATGTTCCATGATAGGTGGGAGGTAAGACTGGCAAAAAAGGCCGAAATCAAGGTGTCAAAAGCTCACAAGGCCCATAGCCAACGCAAGATGTTGAGAATTGGTCATTTGGGTCATGACATGACCTGAAAAATATGGTCATATCTCCGAAACAAAAAACAACAGAAACTTGAATTTTTTTCGTGGACATCAAGAAAGGATAGAGGAGCAGCTATACCAAAAATCAGGCTTCTAGCTCTCAAAATGTTGAGTGCAGAGCAGAAAGACTACCTGCGGGGGGGGGGGGGGTGGCAACCCCCCTCCATGTGCGGGCGAGGGCTAAGCGATATTGCTGCCCTTCAACAACTTTTGAGTGAAATAATTTTGTTGATGCTTAAAAAACTTAACGAGCCCTTGATCTATGTAGTAGCTACTGAGTTTCGAGTGATAATCGCAACAATAATTAGTTGATGGGCTAAGTACAATGCGCACTATGTAATTTTGTCATACTTGCATCTTCTATCGAAATGCACTATTTCCACGAATTTGATTTTCGGTCCAACGATCCGGGCAGGGAGACGGTTAGGCGATGGGCATATGCTTTCAAAATACTTGTACTATAAGCCATTGCCCTTTTATGACAAGCTTGATCCGTCCTAAGCTAAAATAACAACTGAAATAGGTAACTGAAATAACATTAATGGTTCAGTAGTATCATCCACCCACGTTTTGCACAAGCCGTCAAAAATCACGAGTCACAACAAACATTTTTCTGTGTCAACTACAATACCCGAAAATGCACAAACTAAACCAGCGATCACCCATGCTATGTCACCACAATGCTAACTGTAGCATGTCCGATAGATGGTCAGCCATCGGTCATAATTATACCATTACGCTTACACGCTACTGGGTTGTTACCGGCTAATTAGGCAAGCGTCATTACCTTGTCACACAAGTCCAGTTGCGATGCTCGTGTCCCCCTGCCTATTTTCAAAATGTTGTGATTGCGGTGAATGACAAAACACCTCATAAATGATGACATGAGGTTTGTGCTTTCACCTTATAAGACAAAATGGTGATTTAAGGAATGTGGCCAATGGCCAATGCTGGCTGAAAATAATGATTAATTCAAAAGGTTACAAAGCGTAAATTTGCTCAAAATAAAATTTAGTTCGAACGGTGGAAAGGATGACTGCGGCATGCCAAGGCCCTATCGGCATGGGAAGCTTGATGCCCGCCTTATAGCATAAGCCTCTGCTCAGCACCACGGCCCCACCACCCATACTTTGCAGTCCGCTCCCCGTTCACCGGTAGCAATTTGGGAACAACTTAGCAAAGGGCTAAAATATAGATCAGGTTTTTCACAAAATAATTTTGAATTAATGCTCGTCAAAGAAAAATCAACAATTTCAAAGAACAAGCTTTCAATCTTTAATTTTCCTTAGCTTTGTAGATCACAAAGCTAGGAACAACTTACGGCCTGGAATGGGGACCAAGGTGTAACACTAGGTCGCAATATAACAACTGAGTAGAATAGTTAGATGTTAGATCCAGACAGGTTCGCTTCACAATTAACTAAGCGGAGGGCATCGTCATAACAACCCAGCACTTTTGAAGCTGGATAGAGACAATACGCCAGTGATAGTGTTATTCCAGTTCTAACCATGCACCGAGCCCATACCATGAGAGCATTTATGAAACTCTCCTTTCCTCCACCTCCCCGCAACTGACCTGTCAGGCTCACCGCTCCCCTCAGAGCTATCCAAGGCGACCGTCCTCTCCGGTGTCCAGTCCGCGTCACCTCCCGACCCGGCAGCCCACAACAAAAGCAACACGCGTCTCGGTGTCCCCGTGTCGCAGCTGCGCCGACGGCTGGGCCATGACGCCCGGTACAGTCTCTGTTCCGCCCGGCAGCCGAGCGGGCCGTCCCCACAGCACGGCCCCGCTCTGTCAGAGACCGTACGGCCGGTGTGGTGTCGGGACCAGTGGCACTGAACCAGCGGTAATCAGACCGACTCTCGACAAGGAACACAATTAGATGGGGTGAGATTGGTGGCCGGCGGTGGCACGCCCGGCTACATTTCGGACAGGGGGAGAGGTGTCGGGCTGACGGCTGTCTGTCGGCGCCAGACGGTGACACATCAAATGACACAATGGGTGACACACAGGTGACACAGACTATGACACACTGGTTATGAATTTTGAAACTGGCTTGGGGAGAGCAGGAATGAAAAGTTACAAAGGCATAAGAAATGCTAAACAGAACAACCAGAGCAGAGGCAATTTACGCAGTTTATCGGCTTAGATAAAAGTTACGCAAATGCAAAAGTTTCAATAAGATTGAGAAAACTAATCATTTATAAAACTTTTCCTCCTAATTGAGCCAGAGATAGAAATTGTTGAAATTTTCTTTCAATAGAATATAATATATTGTCTGGAAAGGCCTGAAAAAATGGTAAAGAATTTACATTTATCAGTAAGAAAATTGATATGTGGAAAGCAAGTCATAAAAACCATAGGCATCGCTTGTCTTCCAAGTATATTTGCAGATCATATGCCATCAAACTATGTCATACCTATCACAAATAATCAAAACATCAGCAGTATTGTAAAAGCTGTTTGAAATCCAAAGCACGACAGTCGCAACAGTTCCATTATACCCACTCACTAGCTCCAATCAAATCGCAATTAATCAACAAACGAGCAGCCAAATCTACGCTCATCCATAATTCTTTTTCATACACCGGTTACTCTGTCACCACAGAGCAACCAATCTATTGTCCCTCCCATCCAAACAATTCACCATTTCAGCACCCCGCATTACACCAATTCTAATTCCATTAAACCCCCATTACCACTTATTTCCAAGCCTACCGCAATTGTCCTTCCTGCGCACACAACAGCAAAACCTCTATTCAATTGTCAATGATTTTCTGTTCCTCCATCCTGCTTCCCACCCAGACGGATCGAGTTACAGTCGACAATTAACGCCGCTAACGGAGACGTATCACACCCGATTATACACCCACTCGAGTCCTGAAATGATACCCGCGGCCGGGCTGAGATTGTACGATACCGGGGAGCGTGTAGGACGGCCTGTATCGGCGCTCCATCACCGTAATAATTTAATGAGTGGGCTAATTATCGAGGTGGCGCCGGACACGGTCCGTATGTCAGCGACAGAACATGGGTAGCCGGATGGACAGGAACATGGCCAGATGGTTAGAACGTGGTCGGTATGGAAGAGCATTGGGCAAACAAATCTGCTAGGAAAGTTAGTGGCTCTAAGAGTAGATCACCTTTAATGACAGTAAACCTAGCTAACAGTCTGCGAATGAAGCTCGCATAAGTGACAACGCGTTATGAACATGGAAATCTCTGCTGAGTTTGCTCGCAAAACGAAGACGAACTTGTTCTCCTGACAAAGTCTGAGATATGATTCTGGCAAAATACATTGGTGTCTGGATAATGGATATAGACAGCCTCTGGCATATGACAAAAAAGGAATGGAGCGTTAGCTTCCGGCGTCCGGCTATTGCCTAAAAAGCCCGTCTTACCGGCGTGAAAAATAGGCACTCAGAACGATAGGACTAGTAAAAACGCGACGGCAGTGATGTCTGTGTCTTGTCAATGGCTCCAGTGTCAATTGGTGGATGTATTGAATAATCTACACAGCTGCAAGATTATACAATGCAAAGCTAATCCTATATAATTTGACTATTTATCACAATCGTGTTGGATTTAATGTCACTCAGTTCATCACGGAACAAGAAAGGACAACCTTTGAGAAGCCAGTTTTCTTCATAGTAGGTTAACGGTACGGTACGGTATGCATTACATCTTTCTCCGTGGTCTCCCCACCGCCAATCTTCTCGCACCTGTTTCCCACCGGTCCGCAGTGCTCACATATTTACTAAGCCGGATCAGTGACCACTTACCCAAATCCCGCGTTTATCCAGTCCCGGCCACGAACGTCAACACTGTCCCCGACTTACAGACCGCGGCCGCTCAGCCTCCGTTCGCCAGGTGAGTCAACAGCGCCACGCGCGCCGCGTTAGTCGCCGCCGCGCCGCACACGTCACCTCTGCGCTGCGACTGCCGCTGCTCTGTGCGACAAACACGACGCATGCGGTCGACTGGAGGCGTAAGCGGCGCAAACGGCACCAAACGGCGCTGCCGGGATACATTATAGACGAGCTATGGGAATAGCCGACTCGGGGTCATTCTGGCCGCCCCTGCGCTGCCCCCGCCGCACTCGCGCCAGTAATGTCGCGACTGCGTTTGTGACGTATCGTGGCGATAATAACACCAGACACAGCCGGGAGTGTCGTCCTAGACGCAAATCCATTTCGGATTGCCCTCCGCAGCTTAGTTCAAGCTCGATGCTTGGAACAAGTGCTCCCATTCTTTCACTCGACATGTCCGCTTATTTATCCATTTTTTATTTTATCCATTTGTGTAATCTCTCTATCTAATTGGCTTGCAGTTTGATCTAGTTTATTTCACCAACTGACCTTCATCAGTCTCCTGAATATTTTCAGTACACTGCCAGCTTGTTGAATCGGATCTCACTTTGCCCCCTATGCACCCTTTTAGATCTCCCTTCACCCCGTCCCAAGCCTCCCAGTTACATGACGACAAACATTGGTAATTGGATACTGCCAACGGCCAACACAGCCCGCTCGACGCAATCGCGCCAAAACCACCATCGAGGCCAGGCAGATCAGCGCGCTGTGAAAATGGCGCCGGGCCGCGGTCGGCTAAAAATGTAATTACGGTGCGAGATTTGAATAATCAGTCCTGGATGATTGATCGGTCCGGCCGCTGAGCCCAGAAGGTCGCTGCGACCGGCCCGACCGCCCCCACCGCGCCGTGAACAGCGTGAACTATGTGCCTGACCTCCGGCAAATTCCACCCGGCTCTGCGGTCAGGTAATTGATATATTTTTAATTACGGAGTATCGGTATAAGGAAGTGTGCTCTATGTGAATAGATGCCTATCATGTGCATTTTATATTGATTTTTATTGATCCCGCCACAAATTTCATCCAAAGTTCACGGACATTAGGTATTTTCAACATAACTACATATGTATTTCGACCTTCTGCAGGATGTGACGCATAGTTATTGCTGCTACTGTCATACTATAAATGGGATTGATGATACTAAGAAATGAATGAAGGGAAAAGTATGGAAGGAAAATGTGTATGACAACACATTGAGCTAAATCTAGCCGATGTTTGCACACCATGAGTACAACAGCCCCACAGCAATCCCCTTCCACCCCCTTCTCTAGCATCTGCACCTACTGCCTCGACCGGGCCAATAACTACAGGTCCACTGTGCCTGCTCAGAGCCATTAGTCGGATTAGCGCCCTTCCTGCCACCGGTCCAGCGCGGGTCGTCGCCGGGGTCGGTGCCAGCCGGCGCCGACTCGCCGACGATCGTCGCCGCCGATGTCATTCCGTCGGCTTTGCATGTGTTTCCGGGCGGCAGGCGCGCACGAGCGACGCAATCACGAACGGGGCGCGAGCCACGCGCGCGCCCGGGTCGGCGGGAGCAGGATCAATGGCGCCGTAATAGCGCAGATTATCTGGGTCATTACGACACGATGTGGACGGTCACGACACGGTATGCCTCGGGGGGGGGGGGGGCGGGGGGGGGGGGGGTATGGTTCAGGTGGGAGGGGTATCCCCGGTGCTGTCTATTCTGGGTGGAAGGGGAGGGTACACTTGGTCTGGTTTAGATGGGATGAGGAGTGTTTCTGTCACCTTCGCATCCAAATCTAGTTAAGCTGAAGTGGGTTGGGCGCCGCGGGAGAAGGATGGATGCCTTCCTGCGAACGACATAGTGATTGACTGTCACGAGAACGGGAAGTACTGCCTTAACCTGTGCTATATGCTGGCATTTTGGTTATTTAATCTCGCTATTTACTAGGCCGCAGTGCTTATTCCTTATTTGCATTTAACTGATTTTGTGTAATGTGCTGACTCTGTCCGAGCCTTACATTCATTACGCGGTCTCGTACACTCAGCAAACAACCAAAGGGCTCGACTAGCACGTGATACAGTCGTCCGAAACGCACCCAGACATTTAGCATTTCAGCATTTGACGGCGACTGCAGCGAAACACAGGAACGTATCCAGATCGCAGTTCACTGCTGTGCATTGCAGCGCGGAGCTGCCGCCTGCCGTATGACGGATAGGCTGTACCGCACGACACCAAAGCTTGGCGACTGCAGCGGCAGGTAGGAAAATAACACTGGTTTTGTCCAGGTAAACGGGTTGACTGCCGCCTGACAGATTTAGGTTAGACTGTACCGCAAGACACCATTATGGAGACTGCGATATTGGACACATCAATAGCACTAAATTTAACTTGCTAGCTCACCACTGCATGCAAGCTTAGTCATCAAGCCAGCATCAGGAATGACTATAGGCGGGATACAGCCAAAACTAGCGCCCGGATTATACACTGCTGCCTGTATTGAGCAATATCATCGCGTTGTTTTCTTGTCATTCTGTTAACTGTATTCATTCATGCTCAACTGTAACAAATATCCTTTCTGTCCCAGTCCCTCCGTCGAGTGAGCCACCCGCCCTCTTTCCAAACCCCCGACGATCGGCTGCTGACCATCCCATCCCACTCAATCATTGCCGCGATGGAGACATCTCAGACCGTTCTGCTCGACCGCCGACTGTCAGAGTGTCCGGTGTCATCTCCAGGGTGTCCGGGGGGTCGGAGAGGGGTCAGGGAGGGGTCCGGGTCTGTTTGGCTCTGACGCCTCGGCTGGCGGCTACCTTGGCTTCGTCTGACCAACAAAGGGGCGGGTGACGAGCGGAGAGCGGCGTGCGGCGGGCGACGGGAGGAGGAGGACAGACGACGGGCGGCGGGCGGCAGTCTCATCTCCGGTCAACAGAAATGTCACTGACA